TATCACCGTTTCCAGTTTATGAGGGGGGGTGGGTGGGAATCAAAGCTTTCATTTCAGTAGCAAGTGGATGCAGAAAATGGCACCTACAGGCCATAAATTTTGCCACAGCTTCTATTGGCATTTGATAAATATGCAGGCTTTATTCAAGTGCTTTTTAATTCACAGAGTTGATCTTTAATCTTTGTGTAGAGACATTATTGAACGAGAAGTCTCTTTCCCCCACAACTTATGTGTATGCTCCAAAAGGTGTTTGCGGTTTATTGGAAAGTGACTCTTGAAAGATGAAACCCTAAGTTGTACTTGAGAACATAACAACAAATGCAAAATTTCAACTGTAGTGCCACGGTTCATGCAGGAAGTGGCTATAAAATACATCATAAGCACTCATTAGTAGCGAGTCCCTGTGGGCTTGAGGCAGCCGCTCATGTGCGGCAGTCATTAAGAAGGTGGCAAAACAGAAGCTTCAGTTCCTTTCTCCTGCAGTTTCTTTATCATTGCAAACCAAACAGTACAAATGAGTTGATGAAAACAGAGTTGAACCATGTTGGATGCGTTACAAAGAATGTTACTGCATAGATTATGCTAGAGGAAGAAGGCAAGAGAAAGGCTGCTGATCATCTTCATCTTCTGCTTCTCTGATAATAACGCCATGCCAGTTTATGAACAACAAAACCAATTAAAGGTCTTCAAGTTAAATCTCTAAAAATGGCACTGGTCCCCCATTTTTGAAGCAGAATGGTGAGATGTAACCCTGATTTAGGCTTCACGGTGCCTAGTATAAGCCGAGATATGCTTGTGAGGTAAAGCAATGTGCTCCATTAAATCAGCAATGGTAAGTAATGAGCACCTTACAATGGCCTGGGGATTGTGTGGGATGTAAATCACTCCTTCTAAACCTCACAATTATCCTTATAGTTCCTGACTGGGGTGGAATGCTTTTAGCCATCAGGTTTTTTTCCAGGCACTCTCAAGACCCGGTCTGTCATCTCACTCATATGAACTGCCACACCAGCGAACTGGTGGGCAGCTGCAAGGGCTGTCATGTTGGCGCAACACCACAACTCAGGGCATTGCGCCATTGTTGCAAGATAACAAAGGGTGTTATACAGATAAAGCAGTGTGGGTCAGCAGTGCTGCATTGGCATCAACTGAGATGCCAGGAATCGTGGAGACATGCTTGTAACTGAGACAGGCAGAGAAAGAGGCAGGCCATCAAGTAGGTAAGGCAATGTAGAAGCAGCTCAATCTATGACTTAGGGGCACGCCAAACTGTGGACCCAGATCAAAATCAGCCATGTGTTGGACCAGGTAGCAGCGGAAGACCTTGGGGTCTCAAATTTCGCTGTGCCCTTGTGTGACGCCAAAATTCTCTTGTACTCTATTCTAAATCATAGCCGCAGTGTCCCTTGCAGACACACTCTCCTAAATTCACCTTTGCAGGTAGAAAGAGTGTTATTGGCACCCATTAATCATTGCTGAGCTGGTAGCAGCAATGTCACCCCCTGGCCATCTGCAACAGTGGTATTCAAGCCCAGCAGAAAGCAGCCACTTTCAAAATGGTGCAAATATTAAGGAGTCCGGCTGCTGGAGCCCCAAGTTTGAGGCTCTGGTGCCTTACAAAAGACACTGTTGCTATAACGGTGGTCTGCAAAGCCACCACAAGGAAATGAGAGGAGTATCTTTGTAGCTTGATGGGGCAATACACCTCCCACACTAAAAAAAACCAACAACCTTTGGTCCTAAACCAGGGCTTTGCTCCCCATGAATACTTGAACACATGCAAGTATTGTAGTGCAGTAAAGAGTTAAAGTATAAGGTTACCAAAGGTCCCCATTTCCCAGGGACAGTCCCTGGATTTACAAATCAGTCCCCTGACAAAATCCATCCATTTAATACAAAGTTGGAAAGTGTCCCTGGATTCACTGAAAAAAAATCTGGTAACCTTATTATAGTAAGGATGCAACTGATAGCGGTATGGATTTGCTATTGTATTCAAAGACTGTTGTTACAGCTGTGTCAGCACAAGCCACTGCCTGCGTAATTGCCACCCATGGATTTGGGTGAAAACAGAGTGGGTAATGACTAGGGTGAAGGGTTTTTCTGCTGTGGCACCCTGGCAATGGAACAGTCTCCCCAGAGAGGCTTGCTTTGTCTTTTTGGTGCCAGCTGAATATCTTTACATTTACCCAGTGTTTTTAAAAAATATATTCTGCTGATCTGTCTATACCTCTGAGTTTTAAACTGAGCTTTAAATAATATTTTATTTTTAAAAATTAATTTATTATTCTTCGTACTATTTGTGCAGTATTTCCATCTCTCCTCTTTCTTTTTCCTTGTGAGCTATCCAGAGAACCTCTATTATAGGCTGGCTTGTTGCAGTTCATAAATAATCAATAAAAAATAATAAAGAGTTTGACTAAACTTCTGTGTTGACAAGCTCAGATTGGGCTGACACAAGACCATACTCAGAGATTTGTGTCATGCAAACTCACTAGGGAGAAAAAAACGTAGAATTTGAGAAGACTTATCAAGAGTTTGGTAGAAAGTACATAGCACAGGGGGGATTGCCTCAAGAAAACAAAGGGCTGTGGAATCTAAAGTATTAGGCACCCAGCAGAGTCTTATACAGCAGTTGCTTCCTAATTTCAAAAACATCTGTTCATTTTAAAAAGTAAGTCTGTACACAGTTTACATTTCAAGGAGGGTTAGCTTCCACTTTTCAATTTCCTTTTGTTTTTTTGATCAATCATTGTATTTGTAATCAGTTCATTCCTTACCCTTCTTCCTTTTCTTCTGGTATTCCCTGCTCCCCTTGGGAAGAAGCTAATTTCACTCCCTGCAGTCTATTTACTGTTTAAAACTAACATGAGTCTATTGTTTTTTTGGCAATCCAACACAAATCCCTTTAAGAGAAGGAAAGTCCCCTTAAGGGCACCTCTGACAAAATACCTTTATATTTTTGCCGCAGTCACCCCCTCCAAGCAAATGCCATTCCCAGATCCTGCTAGTTGCTTTTGGAAGGAGGAAAGGTACAGTGAAAAATGCCAGAGGGAGTAAACTTAACAAAGCCTAAATGAAATCAACATACTTTCTGACAAGCTGACAGTCTAACAAGCTAATTACTATAGTCATAATTAACACCTAGTAAAGCACACAGCACAGCACCTCAAAGCAGCTAGGAACCTGTTAAGCGAGAATAGGATACACTTTAAAAGCAGCCCATTAACCTGCAGAGAAACTCATTGCTCATAGCTTTAAAAAATAAATAAATTGGTGAACAATTAACTAACCATTTCAGGGAAGCAGTCCAGTGGACAACACGGAATGCAGTAAACTGATTAGTACCATGTTATGCCACAGTCATCTTCAGCTATCCTGATCTGTAGTGAATGCATATTGGCATTTTTTATATATTTGATGTTTCATATGTACCTTATAGATACATTTATGCAGGGCTTTTTTTCAGGGGAAACTCGCTGGAACTCAGTTCCGGCACCTCTCAGGTGGGTGCCATTGCCATTCTAAGAGAAAGATGGCGGCTTTCATGGTGAGTCCCGACACCTCTTTTTCTAGATAAATAGCACTGCATATATGTGTTGTTGCAAAATAAATCCCTTTGGGCAGCCTCAAGGAAAGCAATTCATAAATGTGTGTGTGTGTGTGTGTACAGTGGTACCTCAGGTTAAGTAATTAATTCGTTCCAGAGGTCCGTTCTTAACCTGAAACTGTTCTTAACCTGAAGCACCACTTTAGCTAATGGGGCCTCCTGCTGCTGCTGCGCCGCCGGAGCCCGATTTCTGTTCTTATCCTGAAGCAAAGTTCTTAACCTGAAGCACTATTTCTGGGTTAGCAGAGTCTGTAACCTGAAGCATATGTAACCTGAAGTGTATGTAACCCGAGGTACCACTGTATTCCCAAATGATGAGTCACAAAGCACTTTCTGTCTTTATTGTCTACGCCAGGAAACATTGTTCCCACAATTGATCTGAAAGGACCAACCTTTGCCTACTCAAAATACCAACGTTTTGAATCATTGATGCTGAACGAGAGCAGACCAAAACACAATACTCTGGCATTCAGGTTTTGTGAATATTAATGAAAAGTTTGAATGAGCTCATGAATGAACTGAAAAGAACAAGATAGTTTTGATGCCACTACCCACTGTGCCTTCCACCACCACCTTCTCTTTAGAATTGGGAAATGTTTATTTCCCTTGGAAATATTCCAAGTATGTTGCTTCTAAAGAAACATGATTTTTAGAATATATTTCCTGATGGATTCTCAGGAGCCAGAGGTGAAACCATCTGTAATAGGGGAGGGGGGAGAGATTGGATTTGCTTAGATTGGGAATTATCTTTGTAAACAGTTGGAGCAGATGGCATTGTATCAGTGTTCTTACCTGCTGATGTGTGGGGCCCATCACTGTTGCAACTATCCAAGGACTTAGAAGGAAAAAGCCCTCTCTCTCCAACTCCTAGAATCTGTGAAAGAAATTGAAATGAATTAATCTACTTTGTGCACTTTGGATTGATTTTGTTGTGATAGCAGAGGAATCATAAAGGTAAAGGGTAAAGGGACCCCTGACCATTAGGTCCAGTCACGGATGACTCTGGGGTTGCGACGCTCATCTCGCTTTATTGGCCGAGGGAGCCAGCATACAGCTTCCGGGTCATGTGGCCAGCATGACTAAGCCGCTTCTGGCGAACCAGAGCAGCGCACGGAAATGCCATTTACCTTCCCGCCGGAGCGGTACCTATTTATCTACTTGCACTCTGATGTGCTTTTGAACTGCTAGGTTGGCAGGAGCAGGGACTGAGCAATGGGAGCTCACCCCATTGCGGGGATTCAAACCGCCGACCTTCTGATCGGCAGGCCCTATGGTTTAACCCACAGTGCCACCCGCATCCCTTAGAGGAATCATAGAACCATAAAATTGTAGAGTTGGAAGGGACCCTGTTGCTCATCAAGTCCAACCCCCATGCCATGAAGGAATATGCAGCTGTCCCATACGGGGATTGAACCTGCAACCCTGGCATTACAGTAATAGCTCCACGCTCTAGCCAGCTGAGCTATCCAGGTGGCTTGGAGTACATGACAACCATGTTGTCTTCTAGATTTTGCAGGAAATATCTGTTAGCAATATTGAGGCAGAATTTAGATTTCTGCTTGCTGAATTTATATTCCAATGCAACATTAAAAACAACAACTATTCCTTCTTCTCTACAGGAAATAATGTTATGCTAAAATTGCTTATTATTCTTATACACCCCAACACATATCCAGTTCTTCACAGCTGATATTCATTCTTCTTTTATTTTGCTTTAATAGTAGCATAAAATAGAGATTCATAGTTTAAAATACTTATCTTTCTCTGGATTGTACTCATTATACAGACAATTCGATTTCTCTAGATTTGTGCCCATTGTATGACATTAAGTTTGAAAGGAATAATAAAAAAATGTTGGTTCATTGATATCAGGATTTGCAGTAACTTCAGTGGATACGGACTATTCGTTCAGAGTTGAGCAAAAGGCATATTTTGAGAATGGGGATGGAAGTTGCATTAGGAATTAAGAGACTACCTGAGAGTAATGGTTCTTTCCCTCTACAGTGGGCAGAAGACTTGTTAAAAATATTGCATCTGAAAAGTATTTTGAAATTCTCTGCTTTCTTTTTAAAATATCAGTATGTGTTTTTCTGTTAAAACACACACACACACACACACACACACACACACACACACACACTGCCCTTTAGCTGATTTGCCTTCCAGGTCTTCTCAAGAATCCAATTTCCACATTGCTGCAGGATAAAAAAGTCACATAAGAGAGCCAGTGGAGGGGTGTGTTGCTGGGAAAACCAACTGTAAATCCCTCCTCACCTGTGAAGCTCCCTGGATGTCCTTGGGAAAGTTACTGGAGCTCATCCTAGCCTACCTGACAGGTCAAATGCTTGTCTGAGCTCTTTGGAGGTGAAAAAAGAGCAGGATGCAGATGCACCCAATGCTATGAAACTGATCTAACAATGAAACTGATCTGTGTTTTAAAAAGGCTCCATTGGCCCTCTTCTTGAGCTATTTGCTGAAACTTGACTTCCACTCTCCACTTTAAAAAATAAATAAATCGATCAGTTCATGGGTCAATCAGACTAAAGAGCGTCATTGCCAGCTAATAAGCACAAGCTGACCTCATTTTGCTTCCTGTGACAATAGCTAGTATATGTACCAAAGAGAAAACAGGAACACTGATGGGATGCAAGGATATTTAGTCTGACTGATACGGCAGACCTCCTTTTTCTCCCTGCCTGCCACCATCTATGCCAAACAAAGTATTTTTTTGCCATGTAAAATAATAATTAGAATCTGAATGGATGTGGAAACTACAAAAGCATAACACATTAGCAAATGATAATCGTTTATATAATAAAACACTGTGCATTTTCCCTATATATCTCTAGACTGATGCTTCATCTAAAAATACTCCCATGAAACAAAACCATCCAATTACTTGTTTCGTGGATGAATCCCTTATTAATGATCTTGCGGTGAAGGGAAAAAAACATTAATTACTGGACACAGTGGGATCTTTTATATTCCACCTAGTCTGGACAGCACCAATTAATAGTACAATTATTATCAACTAGCGTGGCAGGTTCACTGAGCAGAACTTTCAGCTGCTGATTGGGTGGGGAATGTGGGACAGCATCCCCACTGTGCAGATTCCTCACATGTAAGGGCTATTATGCTGCTAATGTAAGACCTCAATGTATGTATTTAGGTATGTGATTTGCTTGGTCCGCACGAAGCTTCGTATCACCTTCATTGATTTTAATAGGTTCAAGAAGGTTACAGCTCTTGCATGTAAGTGGATAATAAAATTGTGAGAAAGGCATATTAAGAGGGAGAGTTCCACTTATCCTTCATTGATGCAGGCACAGCTAGGCAAATGGCTGGTTATAGATTCAGGTAGGTAGCCATGTTGGTCTGATGCAGATGAAATAAATAAATAAAAATTTAAAAAATTGTTCAGTAGCACCTTAGAGACCAACTAAGTTAGTTCTGGGTATAAGCTTTCATGTGCATGCACACTTCTTCAGATACAGCGAAACAGAAGTCACCAGACCCTTATATATAGTGGGAGGGTGGGGTGAGGTTTTTCTCAGAATGGTAGTGGGAGACGGGTGATTGACTCAATGGGTATGGTAAACCTGTTGATGACTGTTAATGACTGCAATTAGTCCTACAGGAAAAAGCAAGGGATGGTATGCAGATGATCAAAAATAGCTTTAGCATATGTAATGAGACAAGAATCCAATATCTCTATTCAGACCAGGTCTCTCCATAGTTTTCAGTATAGGTTATAGGTAAGGGATGCAGGATTTACTTTATATATATGAGGTGGAACATCAGCTGGCGTATATGTATACAGTGGTACCTCAGGTTAAGTACTTAATTCGTTCCGGAGGTCCGTTCTTAACCTGAAACTGTTCTTAACCTGAAGCACCACTTTAGCTAATGGGGCCTCCTGCTGCTGCTGCGCTGCCGGAGAACAATTTCTGTTCTCATCCTGAAGCAAAGTTCTTAACCCGAGGTACTATTTCTGGGTTAGCGGAGTCTGTAACCTGAAACGTATGTAATCTGACGCATATGTAACCCGAGGTACCACTGTACTGAGTTTCTGGGGAGCTGATGCCTCAGATTGGGACATGGATGCGGGACTGAGTGGATATGGGCTAGATTATTGGTGGGAGTAAGCATCTGACAGCATATAACACCGGTTCTGTAGGAAATGCAAGCCTCCTTGTATGCTACTGGGCCAGGTTCAGGTTTTGGTACAAATGCACAAAACTCAAAGCAAGTTGAGATCAGGGTATCTTAAAGAGTGCATCCTCATTATAGGCTGGCTAGACCACTGAGACTGTCAGGGGCTGAGATTTTGGAGGTGCTTCATGGCCCAGAATGGAAGTATCTCCTGCAATATGGAACACCATCCCAGTGGATTTGTGATTTTCCCCTCCCACACCATTCTGGAGGGTCCCCCAACTGATAGGCTTTCTGTTCCACCTTTTACTGAACTTTAGCAAAAAATAAGTGCAAAATTTGATTGCAAGTTTCATGGCAACTTTTCATATTCTGTGTGTGCATAATGTCATATAGCTTAGATGCCACTGGATTTAAATGTTTCTGGATGGAGTCAGGAGTTTCTTGTCGCTGTTCTGCTCTTGTTTGGGAGAAGCAATAAAGGTCTTGCCTAGCTTCCTGAAACTGTGATATAATGGATTTTTTTTTTAAAAAAGCTTTCCTTGGCACGTCATACCCTGCCCTCAGTGGTCCACACCTGCTTGTGGGGGATCAGTTGTCCCAGGGTGTCCAATGTATGTACATCTGCAAACACACAATCTCACACAGACACATCAGTGGACAATAATCTGTGGCTGTGAATTTTATTCTCCAGTATATGATCATAATCCTTTTGCAACTGCTTCTCTATCTAACCATGCAGTGTGAAAGCCAACTTGTATACACATCACTCTCTTACTTACACACACACACACCACAATGCACCATCTATGCTTAAAAGGAAGAGGTGATAAAATGCTCTCCACTAGGGGATAATCCGTTTTCCCAATAAAATTTAATTCTGTAAAGCTTCACATCTGGGAGATACATCCAGAAACTACATTTTAACACCAGGGAGTTGGCATATCCAGTTCTGAAATATTACCCCTGGGAAAATATGGACACTATGGCTGAGAAGGTATATGGCTGAGAAGAAATATGTGGAATAAGATGCTAGCAATAAATGTCTGGGCATGATTGCTATGTCATTCCCTTCAATTAATAGGAATAGACATAACAGGTGAATAAATGTTGGCCACTCTGGCAAAAGCCATGGTGTATTATTTTACTGCAGTTAATTAAACCAAGTGTTCAGAACCCAGATCCATTCTGCAAGTTTTCCATAAGCAGAATATGCTATGCAATTGTGGATTTGATCTAAACATCAACCACACTTTATTTATTGGGTCAAAAGCTAAAGGGCTATGAATGAATTTATTAATTTCAGCCACAGACCAGTTCCAGCTCACATACAAAATCAGAGAAGTCATAAAACACGATAGGGATACATTTGAATTTGCAATTGGGTATAACAGGTGCAATACAGATATAGCAGCAGTTAAAAATATGTAAGTTAAATCCTAATCACTAAAATATAACCTAAAATGTCATTTAAGGTCTTAGCCATTATGGTAGCACAGATTATTCCCTAAGTTTTATGGCAGTCACACAAAATTTGGCCACCTTTAGCATGAGCTCTGGATCCTTGTCCTGTACCAAGGATTTTAGACATTGAAATTTGGACCCATTTGGAGATTTTTGTCTAGCAGGGATGATAAATGCTGAGCATATATCCTCGTAGAAACGACAGCATAAAAACTAAAGGGGTAGCAGTAATAGTGAATTATGATGGCTCTGGATTTAGGGGCCATACCATGAGAAAATGTACCTACTGTTTCCCAGGAAATCCAGCCTCCAAATTTTACAGCACCCAGTTAGAAATGTGGAAAAGTAACATCTGAATGTACTTTGACTTCTACTTATTAAGAACAGAGTTGATGGAGCAGTCAGCTTGCCAGTAGTGTGGCAATTATATTTGCATGACTCCACTTCCTGTGTCATGGGATGCTCTCCTTGGACAGAAAAGTCTGCTGCAATCACAGCTCAGGAAAACTGGCTGGTGGAAAGAAGCTGGGGAAGAAGAACCATTTTAAAATCTTTTTTAAAACCTTTTAAAATAGCATAGATTGGTTTTCATTTCCAACTAAAGGGGAAGGTTTTCAATTGTACCGAATTGTGGTAATAGTAGTAGCAGTAGCAGTAGCAGCAGCAGCAGTAGTAATACTTTGCTGACCAGCTAAAGTCCAACAGAAAATAAAGTATTTCTTGGATTTTAAATGTCCTGTTCTGGTCTCCAGTATAAAAAGCACCATCTCGACATTTGCTTTCATTTCAGAAGTTTCATGCCATACCTAAAGACTTGTTGTTCTGTCTAGTTAAACACTAATGTATTAAAATGCTA